ATATAGATCTATATATCTATATAGATATAGATCTATATAGATATAGATCTATATATCTAGATAGATCTAGATATATAGATCTAGATCTATACAGATCTAGATATCTATAGATCTATATAGATATATATAGATCTATATATCTATAGATCTATATAGATATATATAGATATATACATATAGATATAGTTTTAAAAAAAATGTTTATATAATTACTGCTCTAAGTGGGTTGCTCTGTCAGCTAAAGGCGTTTTTTAGAGTCCCTATACTCCAGTAAATGATTGATTACTAAATTAGTCGACTATTATTTCAATAATCGATTAATCTGATTGTTTCAGCCCTAGTAGACCCACATTCCTGTTTATAACACCTCTGGGGGTGGCTTTGCCTTCCTTATGTTTGGTCTGGCTGTTGACTACCTGCTGGAACTCTTTCCCCACTGTGTTTCTCCATTTATGATCCTTGCAGCGAAACGTCTCACCTCACCATTATTTTGCTCTCAGCATCCATTCATTTTTCTATAGGACAGATCTTTTTATCATAGATTAAATGAGCTTGTACTGTTTCCTGTACATACCATCCATCCATCACAACGCGCTCCACACCATCCAGTCCTCTGAAGCTGCTCCTCTTCAGCTTTTAGATGCATCCCTGCTTTAACTCCGCTGACTGATGATCGAATTACTCCTTCACTGTGCTGAAAAGTTTTATTTTAAGTCATCACTGTGAATATAAGAAAAATAACAGGTCAAATTAAAAGATCTATCAGTTGTGGTTTCAGGTCTAAGTTATTTACCACACATTTATTTTGTATTATGTCTTTGGTAAACATTACAAAGTCTTTGTAATGAACCTGTTCATTTTATCAAGGTGTCGGAGCAGGGATGCACCTAAAAACTCAACCAGCGCTTTTGAAACCATCTGCCTTAAAGTTTTAAAAGTAAAATATTTATTAAACTCTTTTGATATCAATATTTTTATAATGACACTAGAACCCTGCTTTGGGTTTGGCTTCTTTTGGACTAGCTGTGTATAAAAATGCACTGAAGCTTCAGACTCCAGGTCCAACTGTTGAGATTTAATGCTTGTGGTACGATAAGAGTTCAGGTCTCTTTAAAAAGAAAAAATCAACTGTGGCATTAGTTAATGTAAAATGTGTGAATAAATGCTAAAAGAACAAAAATAGGCTTGGAGAAAAAAAAAAAGTATTACATGGATGAATATTTCTGTATTCCTGCTTTAGAGAAACGTAATTGTTTGGTGGTTATATAATATAATCCAACCTGACTTTGACTTTTATGCAAATCTTGTTTCTGACGGATGCAGTTTTAAGGATCTATTTTGGCTTCTGTTAGTGAGTGAAAACCTGCCCTAACCCTGAAACTAACACTGACGACGCCATTTATCATCCAATTATGCATCATAAACTTGCAGATAATCCTTAACTAATGCAGTTTATTGTAAGCCGATTGAAGTGTCTTGTTTATTTTTGCGAGTAAATGCACTACATGTATTTTTCCACACTGCGGTGGTACGTCTTTTTGTTGTTTTCCAAAGTGTCCTCTGATGCTAGAAGTTTCTCAGCGCCTTAACCCAAAGCCCTTAAAGATGTTTTAACAGTTTTTAACTTCTGGCTTTGATGTTTCGCAGGTTTTTCACAACATGATGTCGACACACTTCGAAAGGAGTGCTGTGGTATTTTTAGCCCCCCCTGTTCCTCACACACTGTGGGGCATCGAAGCTAAAAAATAAATAACCCCAGAAAGACCTGCTTTTATTAAATATTTATGTGTTTGAAAAGGTTGGATTTTATTTATGAACGCGACGCTTTAGTGCCTGGCAAAAGTATTCACGCCTCTTTGAACTTTTTCCACATCTTTTATGTATTTGAGGGATTGACGATGGACCAACTGTAGAGAAGTGGAAGAAGAGGTGATGTATCTTGAACAAACATCTGAAAAGTGTGGCAGGCATTTTCGCTGAGGCAATAGATTCAAGCCTGGCTTGCTCCCCCACTATGCCTCAATTTTTTTGCCAATAAAATGAATCGTTGGCTCATCCGATCAGATCAGCTTCTTCTGTTTGCTGCCCTCTAAACGGAATTGACAACTCAGGATTTTATTTAGGTGTATCAGAGTTTTTCCTCGTTTTTCCCTTCCACTTCTTTATGCTTCGATTCAAATCAGTTTATTTCTATAGCGCCAATTCACAACAAATCATCTCAAGGCAATTTACGCTTCAACCAGATCATACATTCAAATTGAATCAAAGTTTTCTATCGAAGGAAAACCAGTTGATTGCATCGACTCATTGACTCCCTCACACTAAGCATGCTTGTAGCGACAGTGGAGAGGAAAAACTCCCTTTTAACAGGAAGAAACCTCCAGCAGAAGCAGACTCACTGTGAGCGTCCACTCTTCAGTTAGTCTCCCCAGAGTACATCAAGATTTTGAACGTTAAAGCCCGAAACGTTTTTGAGGTGTGAAAACTTTTGCAGGGCTGGAAATGTGCCGAACAGGCTCAGCGTCAAGACCGTCAGCCCCTACCCTCCCACTTCATGGGTTGTTACATCTTTTACTTGATTTGTTTTTCTTTTTTTTTTAATGTGTTTTATAAAAAGAAAATAATTACTAATGTTGAGATTATTTTTACTGATATTTTGTGTGAATTCTGGTCGATATATCTGTAAAATGTTCGTTCTTTGGTTTTTCATTGAAATAATTTTTTGATCACGAGTCACACTACATGTACATTAAAGAAAATGATCAATACATCTCAATCGTGGTATATTTGGGTCATATCTGTGTATGAAGAGTTATACAGCTCTTATATAGCAGGTAATGATAAAGGGACCATAGATGAAAGGATCCATCGTTCCAATAACTGATCTGATTCTGTTCCATCTTCCCCCAAACCAGCCATTCTCACTGAAAACAAGGAAGTCTTGGGAACTGAGATCCACTGGAATTGTCCATTCTCTCTAGATCAGGGGTCTTCAAAGTTTTCCAGGCCAAGGACCCCAAAAGTGATGGCGAGATGGAGCGGGGACCCCTAATCGGGGCGACAGTGGCTTTGGATGTAGGAGTTTGCCCTCAAATCGAAGGGTTGACGGTTCAAGCCCCGACTCCGACTTTCAGTGTCGTTGTGTCCTTGGGCAAGACACTTCACCTGCATTGTCTACTGATGGTGGTCAGAGGGCCCGGTGGCTTCAGTGTACGGCAGCCCCGCTTCTGTCAGTGAGCCCCAGGGCAGCTGTGGCTACAATGTAGCTTGCCACCATCAGTGTGTGAGTGTGTGGGTGAATGGGTGAATGAATGTAGTGTAAAGCGCTTTGGTCAAGTCTCCTAACTTGAATTAAGGCGCTATATAAGTACATGCCATTTACCATTTAATTATATATAGTATGAAATTGTGTTCTATCAAACTGGTCCTATAGTCACTATTACATATGGAGTCATGGAACAAAAGTAATTTCTCCCTGGGATTATTAAAGTATTTCTGATTCCTGGTTGATGGGACAGGTGTTGTGAATGAAATGGTGCCCAGCTTGAAAGAGCTCCTGTGTGTCGCTGAATGTGTGCATTGATGACTGAAAGACATCTTCTGCCTCCATTTTTCTGTTTATTACAGTGTGTTGAATTCATGTTAATGTGGATTTAAACACTGGAAAATATATATATATATATATATAAATATAAAAATATAAAATATATATATAATATAAAAATATTTAAAAAAATATATCTGAA